AAGGAACTCGCCCCATCTGGGCTGGGGGCTTGGAACTGGAGTGTCATTTCACAGGATCTTCATGGTTGGGAAGGACCTCTGAGATCACCGAGTCCAACCAAGACTCACACAAAAGACCCCCACCATCTCGGCCACTAGATTTTAAGTTGCTGCCCATGTTTTCATCCTTATTTTACCATAATAAAGCCCAGTGAAAAGGCATGTCTGCTCCTTTCACCAACACAGCATCTCCCACCCCTCTCCTCCCCACCTCCCCAGGAAGCCTCAGCACAAGTTTCCACAAAAGCCTTTGAGCTTTGATTGTCCCATGGGGCTGCTAACGGAGCCTGTCCCCAAAGACATACTCATACAAAGAGGGGGGGACAAAAAACAGGTAAAATCTGAGCTGAGGGTCTGGTGAAGCCCATTTATGGGAACAAGGCACTGGAAATGAAGGCAGGGTGTGAATTCAAGGTGCTGCTGGGCCCCGTCTCCAGCCACCCGACCCTTTTTGTGATGGAGCTGAGCACAACCAGCTCCATCTGCCCAGAGAGATGGGCACGAAGAGCTCATGGAAAATTGCCAGAGGACGTTTCCCAGCTTAACACTGGGGTCCTGCACCACTGAGACTCCTGCCAGCGAGAGCCACAATCCCCCCACTTCCAGCCACCCTTGTCCTCAGCTCTGGTGGAGTCTCCTTCTCTGGAGACACTCCAAACCCACCTGGACATGGTCCTATGCAACCTGCTCTGGGTGGACCTGCTTTGGCAGGGGGTTGGACTGGATGATCTCTGGAGATCCCTTCCAACCCCATGCGATTCTGTGATCCAAGATGCCAAAACACTGACCTGGTTTTGCTTCCTGGAGGACCAGAAATCACCACATCCCCACCACTACCACCAAATTGCCAAAGTAAGCAGCTCTTGCAAATACTTAAGGTTAATATTTACATTTGGCTCCAGCGCAGGAAGCTCATGTTTTCTCACTGGAGAAAGGGAGCGGGGAAGCTGGGACCACAGGCTGCTCGGGGGGGGCTGGAACCACATTTCGTGTCACCACAGCAGATGCTTGAGGTTGGAGAGCGAGCAAGGTCTGAGGATACAGCTGGACCCATCGGATGCCTCGGATGCACAGCAACGTGGCCTGCTCAAGGATGAAAAGCATCCCAGAGAAAGCACAGGCAAGACTTTGGCCGTCCCCAATTCATTAGCCACGCTGGAGGTGGCCACCACTTCCCACCCCGGTGGTGGCAGCAGCCCTGCTTCCACTGGGAAGGACAAGCCGTGGGAGACTCCAAAGGGAACCCCCCACAGCGTGCCGTAAAAATCAGTGCGCGCAAAGTAATCGGGCTAAGCGGTAATCTAGAGGTTTTTTTTAAAAAAAAGCTTTATCTGAAAACAGGGAAAAAGTTGTCCAACAAACATACTCGGGGCACGGGATGTGGTACTGGGATCCCATACTGTTGGTACTGGGATCCCATACTGTTGGTACTGGGATCCCACTCAGCAGCTCTTCATCAAGTCTGCTAGGTAAGTGGCAGCGTTAAATCAGAATACCAGTCCCCCCAACACCAGTCATCGCCCCGAAAACTGGGAATTTGGGTCCCTTCAGGCTCAGTGCTCCCTTCCCAGGACAGTGTAACCCTAAAGGTGCTGGAAGCTCTCTGCCACCCCGTGTTTCACTCTCTGGGACAGGAGGGGTGTGATCCAGCATCTCTCCATCCCCACTCTGAAACTGGGATTTACCCATCTCCTCCAGCCTTTCCCTTCCTCCCAGCATCCCAGGAAATTCTGCTGTAAATAAAGAGCCTGCCTCGAAGATAGGGGCCACACACAATCCAGCTGCCACCTCCCAACTGCTCCAGACACTGTACAACCCCTTCCTGGGAAAAGAAGCAGGCAATTTGGGATCTGCAAGCCATGGGGATGTGGGGTTTATCCACTAATGTCTCTGTATCATGGAAAAACGCCTCCAATCACACCCGGGTGGATGAAAGCACCAAAGCAGAGGAGGGACAGAGGTTACTCCTGGGCACTCCCCGTCCCAGAAGAACCGTGATTTCTCCATCCTCGCTGGGGGATGGCACATCCCTGACCTCCAGACCTTCCCTGCAGCCGAGAGGTCACATGCCCGTAAAGCCGGGAGAGGGAAAGAAACGGCCATTCTTTCCACAAGCCGTTTCTAAGAAATAAGGCACTAAGGCCCTGGCAGCAGCTCGGAGCTTGGTATTTGCAGAAGATTTGTGGTTCAGGCCGACGGCAACAAATTGGCTTTATTTTTGCAGCAGGACTTGATTTTCCCCTCGTGTCACACACGTGCAGACCCCCCCGGCACTGACTTTCCAGGGTGGCCCCTGTGCTCACCAGCATGGCCTTGCAGAAGACCATAACCAGTGTGACCAGCATCCCCCAGTCCCTCAGACCTCTCCTTAAGTAAAACACCCAGAAAGAGGTTTATTTCCCCTTCCATGTGCCTTCCTTGAAAAAAAATTAGCACACACAGGTGTCCTAGAGTAAAGCTGTTCCTCTCAGCGGGGGAGTCACCCCATCTCCTCCCAGTCCTTCCACAGAGATGCTCCCACACTGGGAGGAGAGGCATGGAGCAGTTCCCAGCACCAAGCATCAGAGATACTGGTCTCAGGGCTCACAACAAGCCTGGGCTTCCCACAAACATGGGTTGTTAAGAGAGATGTGCTTATCCAAACAGCTCTCACACCAGTAGAGTCACACAGCCCAGGAATGGGATGGAGGGTGAAAAATAACCCCTGGGATTAGATACGTCCCTCTTTTATGGGCTTGTGGCCCACCTTGCCTGCTCCTGAGGTCACTCCAACCCAGCTACCCGTATTACCTTGTCCCTACACCAGGGCAGAAGGGAACGCAGCGTCCTCCAGTGCCAGCAGATCCTCTCGGAAGCTCAGCTGCATCCACCAGAGCATCCCACCTGGCACCCACGGGACAGTGCTGTGGCAGGGGGACAGTCACAGCAGGTCACACATGCTCCAGACCCGAGCAACAGTCCACAATCACCCCCATAACCAGAGTAGCTCCCAGGATTTTCGGCCGGTGCCAGCCTGGCAGCAGCCCACCTGGGCAAAGGGGACCCACAGCCACGGAGGTGGCCCTTGAGGAGAGGGACCAGCACCTTGGGCGACCAAGAAATCACTTCCTCACACTCCCCCTGGCTCCGCAGTGCCCTCTTCTCACACAACTGCCCCCTGCCTTTCTGCAGCTCCACACCACCAGTGTAGGTCAGCCCCTAAGCCTATTAATGCCAAAGTGCCCTCAATTCCAAGGGTTCCTGTGCCAGCCTCAATGACCCAAGAGAAAGGATGCAGGATCCACTATCTACTACTTCAGCTGGGCCTCGTGGTGACCATCCTTCACGAGGGACCACCTGAACCTCTCATCACCCCACCAGCACAGGTGGAGACCTCAGAAGATCCACCTGGGCAGAAGCAGGCCATGCTTTGAGCCAGAGGGAGAAGAGCATCAGCCAAGCTTCAGGGAGAAAACTGCCCTACCAAGCCAGGAGGCACCACACTGGGCAAGAGAATAAAGGCTGGGGCCAAGGAGAAAGGCTGGGGCCAAGCCAGTCTCGCTACAAGGTGGGGAAAAAGAAGCAGGAGCAGCAAACCCAGCATCCTAGTGGAAAGGATGGGGGCTACAGATGCTGGGATCAACCCACCCCCAGCACAAAAGCCAACCCAGGTGGCTCCGACCCCTCCTCAGCAGCAGGACCACCAGGTTTCTCAGCCCTGGGCTGGCAGCAGCATTACAATTTTGCTGTCTCCAGCACTCTGCTGCCCTCAGAAACTGCCCGGTGGGGTGGAGTTAGGAAGGTAGAGGCGGCGTGGACAAATATTGACTCGCCTGTGGGCACAGGGAGCACGACCGGAGCCAAAAATGAAATCCAGGGGCCCCCCAAGTCCCAACCCTCTGCTTTGTACTCCATCACCCATCGGCACGTTTCGTAACTTCTCGTGGCACCGCCCAGACCAACACTGCCTCTTCCTAAACTTCTTCTGCACGCTTGGAGCCAGACCCTCACAAAACAGGGCTCAGCCCTCATCCAGGAGGGACGGGCAGCGCCGGAAGGCAAAAGAGACCCCAAAATACCATAAACCGACCTCAGACCCTGAATCCTGGCGTTGCAGGACCGTGCGTGAGGAGAAGCTGGGGGTGTTTGGAAGCCCCCACTGATGACCTGCCCGTGTCTGGTCCCGCACCGACCCCAAACAAGCACTCCCTGTCCTGTAACCGATCCCCTTTCTCGGCTCGAAGGGACCGTCAGCTGGGACGGCTGCTCCGGCCACCACCCTCCTCGGGGCTTTTCAAAACACACTTGACTTCTAATAGCAACAAACTTTGCTTTTTCAGGTCACCTCAAGGCAGGCCCCGTGAAAGGGATGGCCAAGGACCCCCCAAAAGAGCTATTAAGACCCTCCCTCTCTGCCCTGCAGCTGGGGGGGACACACACCTGTGTCTGCCACCCTGAGCTGGCTGGCAAACGGGCACGGGATGAGACCATCCACCACCCGTTTTAGTGCCTATTTACCCATTTTGAGCAGAAAAAAAGCAGAACCAGGATGGGACGATGACCCCAAGTCACACAAGGCAAAAAAAAAACCCAAACCAAAGCTTTGGGAGAAGCTGGAGGAGGCACCAACAACGCACCAGATGCACCAAATATCTCCTTTTTTTTTTTTTTTTTTTCCCAGCCCACAAAGATATTTCAAGCAAGTTTTAAAGCTCGGTGGAGTTTGGGTGTCCCCCCTTCAGCATCTCCGGCTCCGCTCACCGAGACAAGATGCTTGAAGGCAGCAGCCGGCCCCGGGGCCACCCCAAACAGCCCGGGGGCCAGTGGCCCAAGGCGGGCTGGAGGTAGCCAGGGGAGAGGCTGCAGCTTCAGCCCGAACCCTCAGCCCCCTCCCGGGGTGCTGGAAGGAGCCGGAGGAAACGCCGACCTCCGGTAGCCACGGGTGCCCCGGCGGTAGCCACCCATGGGGGGGGTGTTCTTACCTGCGGGAGGTCATGGCTCCGCGGAGCTCCGCGCCGACTGCGCGCCCCGACCGGGGCTCCTGGGCCCGGGGCCGGCGGGGAAACCCCTCCCTGTGACGCGGGGGAATCCCCGCCC